GCATAGGTGAATGTGGTGTGATTGAGCGCTTGAATGAGTAATATATACAATGGCATATCGGAAAAGGACCGTTTTGGAGGGTAATTCATCGCAGAACGATTGAAGCAATTGTGATCATTTTGTGGGTGATGAAGTTTTCTATCATATGAACAATCCTGTTCTGAGAAATATCCATTATAAAAAAAAACTTGAGCGGTCTGAAAGTAGAAAATATTGGGCAAAAGTGAAAGTCACACTTATGTAGTACCCAATTTCAGGTTTGTGACCATTTTGTACTGGAGGAAAGAGATTCGACCGGAAAGATTATACACCTCTTGTGAGGTTTGAAAAGTTGTATCAGATGGGCTTTTTTATTTGGAAAAAACGAAGGCACTTTTTAGGGGTTTAGGAGGTCTGAAAGTGGAAAAGTTGCAGTTGAATGCAGAAAATACCCAATTGATCTTTATTATCCGTTATTTGTCAATCTTCGCATCATGTGATTGAGAAGTATTTAATGTAATAAATGTCGGATTAATCCATGACGCTTCACCTCGATTGGCCCAACTAATGCAAGGGATTTCATCTTTCTTCTCCACCGTTAGCTCAACGTCCCCTGAGGCCATCCGTGACCCAGGTAATCCTCAACACTTTGCTCCTCCTTCAAGTTTTCCGTATTCGCAGCTTGATTCAAGTTCCGAATTCGTACCATTCATACTAGTGTCGGATATCATACCACTTACAACTGCTGATCGAAGTACTGCTGTGCAACAAAACCAGGGAGATTGATTCATGAAGAACCGTGAAAAGCTGCGTAAGGTTCGAGCAAAAATGAACGCCAGGAAGTCTATTACAACTTCTTCCTCTTGTTCTTCTGGTTCTTCTCCTTGGTGTTTTTGTTGCTCTTCTTCACTATTAACAAGACATCACGCGACCTAAAATAGTAACAACCGCGGGGCACATAACAAGTGACCGTGATCCAGAACACCATATGCAGTGCACTCCTCTCACACTGGCGGAGCTTCTTGCCAGGGAGATTGATCTAAAGTGTAGAGAAGAAGTTCGTGAGGGCAGCAGTGAACCACGGTTTGCTTGGTCAGGGGTAGGTTTATATTACTGATCACCACTTCAAACTGCATTGTTTCGAATGTAAAGCAGTCATATTGCTTCAGGGTCCTTCAGTGGCACTGAGCAGTTCACCACACATAGCTGTAATGTTCCCTGCGTGGGAATCAGTCCGAAAAAGTTATTCGAGAAATCGACTTCGTTTTGAGACCGCGGTATCCGATCCATTCAATCTTCCACCGTGCTACAGAAGTTCAGGGAATGCAAGGTCTTCTTTGTTCACTGTAAATGAAGCAGTTGTCATAACCAGTGGAAAACAAGCAATGAATGCGATTTTCTTTTCGGGTGGCTTCTTGTAGCCGATTCCGAACACGGAGTCCTTGCTTCTTTGTCCCACAAAGAACTTCGAACCGCCGCAGATTCCGATATAATGGTGGCCGATGCAACATTCAGCATTGCACCTCGCGAATTCTACCAAATTCTGACGGTTCACTGCAGGGTGCATTTCCCCTTTTTTGCATCTGAGTGAATCAAAACATGAAAGTTTTACTTATTTTTAGTTACGATTAAACAGCAGTAAGATTCATTCTGCAGGTTTGGAACGACACTGGATATGAATGGGTACCATTTCTGCATGCTGCGATAAAAAATAAGGTGAAGGAGTCGTACTGCATTATTTTGCAGCGATAATTCGGCAGTGACGAGCAATGGGCTGCTCCTTTTCGTTTCGCCTAGTACAAACCGATTTTGAGGAAGTGATAATGAATGCGGTGAGCGATAATTTCGGTGCCGAAGCAGTCAAGGGATGTTTATTCCACTACAGTCAGGCCGATCTGCGAAACGTGCGGAATTTCGGTTTCACGTCGGTTTACAATGAACGAAAGGGAGCACCCATTGTCAATGAGTTCGACGCATCTTAGCCCTGCCACTGTTGCCCGAGAGTTAGTTCTTTTTTTCCAAAAGTGCATTAGTGGCGCCATTCAGATTTACTGCTTTTTAATCACTTCTCCGAATTCAGTTTTACTATCATTTCATCATCAACAGTCCCTTACACTCTCTACAATTACAGGTCATGTCCACTGCGCTTGGGAGATGGAGCTGAA